CGGGAGAGAGAGGAGTTGCGGCGTACCTGAGATCCGCGAGGCGCGAGCTATCGAGGGACGGAGGAGGACAGAACGGACCGACGGAGCACGACGAGGAAGGTCAGTTTTTATGTAGGAGAGTTCTTTCGGGGTTTTTTTCTCTGAGAGAGAGAGAGAATGATAATTCCTTCGTACGCCGGTTTCCTCATGAGGAGTATAGCTGGCCAAACGGACCGGACCGGCCCGGCACGGCACGGCCCATCCTAATCATGCCTGGCACGGCCCGACCCGCGAAGGCACGATTATTATACGGGCCGTGCCGTGCCGGCCCGCGTGCTGCAGCATGCAGCCCAAGCACGGCTCGTATGCTAATTGGGTCGGCCCATCGGCACGCTAGGTCCGCTAATCTGCCTCCTATTTTACGCATTGGGCGTTTTTTAGCCTATGTTTACCTGTTGGGCCACATTAGGATACATAAAAAAATAAAAAATAAAAGATAATCAGGTCGTGCCGTGCTGGCCCGTGTGCTCGGCCTTCAGGTCCAGGCACGGCCCTTGGTGTGTTGCATGACGGGACTGGCCCGTTTAGCACGTGTCGTGCCGTGCCGGCCATGCTACCGGGTCGGTCCAGCTATCCCGACCCATTTGGCCACCTATATGAGGGAGGGTAGATTTCCTCCTCTTTTTTTAGGGGTGAAAGCCACTTAACTTAAATAACAACAAGGTCTGGGATACAGATAATGTCAGGTAAGATAGAAAGCCAAATATGACGGCCAAAAGCTAAAGTAGTCGCTGCTTTTGAAAGCTTGTGAGCTTCAAGATTCATCTCTCGCTTCTCATGGATGTAATCAACTGACGTGAAGTCTTGCATCATTTGCTTAATATCTTGGATCGTTACTGCTGAGGGTCCCTTGTATTCACCCTTTAGATGTGTGATCGTTGCCATACAGTTTGTAGCAACAACAATTCGCTGACATCCCAAATCAGCAGCTAAAAATAAGGTCTCCAAGCTCGCCATTGCTTCTAGGATTTCTGGATCGACCAAATCCTGAAAAGTTATAGCAGAAGCGCCCAAGTAAGCACCAGCCTCGTCTCGACAGGTTACTGCCAAAGCCCCCCTGTCACTGTTTCTGCCCACAACAGCATCGACATGAATTTTAACACTCCCAGTAGGCAGAGCAATCCATTTAGGATTCTGACCGTTCACCATGGGTCTGTGCAAAGGAGTTTCATCCTTTTAAAATCTGCAGATCTAGCATGTATCTTTGGATGAATAGAAAAGTGGTTAGTGGAGACTGAAATTGCTCTTCATGGACAGCCTTTCTCCGAACCCACCAAATCGACCAAAGGGTAACAATGGGTTTCACAAAGGACTCATGCCCCATCGATTCATGAAGCTCAATAAGCCAAAGTTTAGCATCACTGTGATTGCAAGCTATCATGTGTTCTACTAGTTCATCATCGACTAAAGACCAAACGCTATTTGTCATGGGGCATTGAACCAGAGCATGCTTCCAAGTGTCTTCAGCTGCATTGCAAATTGGATAGACATCCAATTCTGACATATTTCGGTTATGACGAATAGCTTCTGTCGGAACCGAATTCTTGGCTAAACGCCAAGCAAAATTACGAAGCTTTGCTGGCACCTTCACATTCCATAGCTTCTTCCATTACTGCATATTACCTCCAATGTCAGAATTCCTCGGAACTTCATATAGCCAATTTTCTCGAACTCTCTTTGTTTTCATTAGAAGTCTGTACGTTGATTTGACAAAAAACAATCCAGATCTCTCATAATGCCAAGCCCACTCATCTATTCTGTTATAAGAGCTCAGTGGGATGTTGACAACCCTCTGAACATTAATCTCTTGAAGATGTTCACGCAAGCGATTCATGTCCCATCTTCTGTTTGTTGGATCGATAAGATCTGAGACGAGCTCCGGCGAGTTATTACTTCGTGGATGCAGTGCACGTAGCAAGTGATCCCTTGGGATCCAATTATCATTCCAAATATCTATATCTATACTACTCTATATCTATATCTATACTTCTATACTACTGTATAGTGTACCAGTTTTGAAGTTTTGAATCTCAATCCTAGGAATAAATGTGAACCGTTGATATAGTCCATCGAATGGTCCAAAATGCTTGGATTCGCATCTACAGTGCCAACTACAGTACATCTGCAGTATAGTGAAGAGGCATGAAGATTCTGTTGTTTTCCAGAACCATCTACAGACTAGGAAAGTTCACCTTTTTGCTACTGCCGTGCATTTGTGTGTGTAGCAGGCCGAGCCGAGCATACGAATGGACAGGCAGTCCGCGGCAGCGTGCGCACTAATCATGTTGGCAAGGAACGAGGTGATGTTTTGGCCTTTTGGGAGAGTTCTTAGAGTTGGTTGTGCTGCAAGTCTTGGGGATGGCGTGAGAAGTATTCAATGGTGGTTAGCGCATATGCATATCTGATGGGATGATTAGAGTTTTGGATGAAGAAAAAGAAGCGAGATGGTCTCAACCATGGAACACAGCGATGAACATTTTCTTTCTGGAAAATATTGAAGGGGTTTGGAAATAAGAAAAAGAAACTTTTGTTGTACCTCGCATAAATATTTTTGTTGTATATGAGAAAATATACTAGAATAAAAAAAATATGAAAATTGGTCTGTCAAGAGTCAAGACTTATTTATACAGACCCGTTTATGTTTCAATTTTTTCATTTTAAAATAAAATTTATAGTCTGAGCATTGTTCTTCTCACATTGCAATAACTCAGATATATCAATGGATGACTTTATAGAATTACTTTATTGTGTCGTAGAGGGCAAAAACTAGATAATTTTGCAACATTCTGATAATCAATAATGAAATTTTGAAATGTCCTGAAATTAACATTGGTATGGAACTAATTGTAAGCATGCAAAGCATGTGCTACTTACTAGTACTTGTATAGAGCCCGTTGCCAATTCTTCGAATAAGGCCCTGCTTTCCTCCTAGCTAACGACAGCACGCATGGGGCGGACACCTACTGAGCTGGGCCCGAGACCAGTATTGGAGAAAGCCCAAGTTCTTTTTTTGACGTGTAAAGCCCAAGGTTTGGTAATGACCTATGTTTTCAAGGCGTCGCCTAGGCGACGCTT